CCTTTTCTGTTTGACTGGCAGCCTTCCTCCCTGTTATAGTTGACTGTGGGTTTTATAATGTTTGACTCTTTATATGCAGATTACTGTGAAGGCATGGAAAATCCCCCTCTCCCTGAGCACATTCCAGAAAAATCTGCTTTAGTTAATTTTATGCCTTGAGGACTCATTGCATACTTAGATAATAATAAATAACAATAAGGTAATAACTTTCTATGAAGTCAGAAACAGGCTGCAAAAACAAAAACATGGAATCTCAATTGTGCTATTATTTCCAATAATTTCTCTAGCATTTTCACAACTGAGACATAAAGATTTTTCAGAGACCACCCAAGCGTGCTTCATGACAAAGCAGGGATTTGAATATAGCTCTCGTATGGTCAAATGGCCCTAACCTGAAAAGCCCAGGCTAGCCCAATTTTGTCAGATCTCGGAAGTTAAGCAGGGTTAGCCCTGGTCAGTATTTGGAAGGGAGATCGCCAAAGAATACCGAATCATGATGCAGAGGGAGGCAATGGCAAACCACATTTAATGTCTATTGCCTTGAAAACCCCACAGGGTCACCACAAGTCAGCTGTGACTTGATGGCAAAAGAAAAAGTCAAATCATAACCCCTCCCTGGTATGAGGCTGCCCTACAACTTTACACTTGGCCAATGAATGATCCATAAGTGCCTCCCTCTTCTTTTAAACTTCCTGCAGAGATATGGTGCAATAGCAGAGTCTGATTATGTTGCATCACATACTACCTACTTGCATATGAATCAATTTTCTCAACTCCTCTCAAAACAAACAATTCCAAATGATCCATATATGAGTGTATGTGCGCTCATGTCCCTCACAAGCCAGATTACTCAACCTCGCTTGAGTGGTTACATTTGGTCAATACTTCCAGCCAGCCCTAAGTATAGAACCTAACAAGATGCTTCAAGAAGTCAGAAAAATCTTTAGCAAATCCTAGCTTTTATGTTGTTCATAGGATGGGGCTGGGGTGTTTGCCTGGGCTGCGCGGAGCAGACCGAGGCAGGCAGGGACAGGGGGGAGATCTTTCCCGAGTGTGTGGCTCCGGGAAGATTTAGATCGGGGCTGGGGTGTTTGCCTGAGCTGTGTGGAGCAGCCCGAGGCAAGCAGAGACTGGGGGGGAGAGAGATCTTTCTCAGAGCACGTGGCTCTGGGAATATGGAGGACGGGGCTGGGGGGCCTTGCCTGGGCCGGCCCGAGGCAAGCAGGGACGGGGGGGGAGATCTTTCCCAAAGAGCGTGGCTCCAGGAAGATGGAGGACGGGGATGGAAGGCCTTGCCTGGGCCGGCCTGAGGCAGGCAGGGAGGGCGGGGCAGATCTTTCTCGGAGCGTGTGTTTCCAGGAATATGGA